ATCGCTTTTCAAAAGAAATAAGCAGCATCTTTATTTGATCTGAATAATCCAGTTGTTTATCGGGAAAATTTTCTTTGAGTTTCTTCAGGTAAAGAAAACTGACAAAATTTTGTCAGCCAAGCTGCTTTGAGAACAGCTGGAGTTTAAGTTTGAAAGCAGATACTGCATTGGGCAAGTAATTGATGAATTGTTTTTTTCCTCTCAATTTTTTGTTTAGGTCATTCAGATGGATGGTCACATCAACTAAAAATGCTTAGTCACACTTGGAAGATGGTTCCTTTAACATCCTAGTTTGCTTGTCATTTTCTTCAAGGGATGGTGTTATTTCATCAATCAATTCAGCAAACCTTTTCAAAACCTCTCCACGACTTAACTATCGTACTTCCACTAAATACGGAATGCAAGTAATACACAAGATCACTATGGGATGTATCTGTGTGTTCTAGGATTTCCTTAAATTGTCTGTGGTTTAAACCATTTGAGCAAATAAAATTGATTGTATCGCTCGCTACTTTCATTAAACGATCAAATTCTAGTTCTTTCATGCATAACTGTTCTTGGTGTAGGATACCCAAGCAAATCGTTTCCTCTGTCATCCAAATGGTCTCTTGGTAGACTCACCATGCCATTCTGAATTCCAATCATGGCTGGAGCTCCATCAGTAGTGATACTAACAATTTTGTTATTATCAAAATTATGTGTGGAACACAAATTTAAAACTGAGAATAAAATATCAGTTCCAGTTGTTTGCCCCTTCATTGAACTTAAGTTCTTCAGTTATTTCAAAATTTTCAGAAATTCCTCTGACAAACAAAAGAAGCTGAGCTGTTGAAGTAATATCTGCCTACGCATCAGCTGCTAGAGAAAAGTACGTAAATTTCGTGGCAGCATTCTGTAATTGTTCAGTAACCTCATCAGATAAATTTTCAGTTCTTTTTTTAATTGTCATTCTGCCGAGACTTTAATTTTTAAATTTCTTCGTAGCTTCAGTGCATACTTTCTAGGAAGCCAACAATATATATTCCATTGCAAAATCGCCATCAGTAAATGGGCGGCCACTTTTAGCAATTAAGGCTGCAATTCCAAATCTAACTTCCACACATTTATCTAACTGTGAAAATGCCTTTGTAAATACATTCCTTTGAACAACAAGAGAACGGTGAAGAGATTCGATTTTACAGTTTCAAACCTCTCCCTCAAGCTTTGAAAATGTTGTTTCGTGTCGCTTAATGTTATACTCCTTGCCAGCACTAATCATAAATTATACATCAAGCATGTAACTCTATTATTTTGCTCCACCAAAAAGGTATTTCGAAGTCCAGGCCTCCGAAAATTTCCTCTAACTTTCTTTTTGTTTTGCATCCATTCATCATGGCAACTATCAAAACCACATGGAACAAAAATTCTATGTTTGTTCCACTTTCAAAATAATATTTAAACAAAAAAGTGAAATATTCAAAACATGAAACTTCTTAATGGTCTGGAAAAGAAAAATAAACACACATGTGATAAAACAATGTATAGTCACAAAGCCAAAAGTGCAACAACGCCAAGCACCACTTCAGATCTGAGCAAATATTTTTCTCTTCCACTTTACTAGCGCATGCGGGCAAATACACTTGTGCTACATCATACCCCCAGACTCTTTCTCAATCTTCTATAGGTGTTGGTCCTACAGGCCAGGAGCAATTTTCGTGTTCAGACAGTGGATATGAGTTTTGGTTAACGCCGGGAACTTGTCTCAATGCCAGTTCTCACTTCTTGAAGTGAAGAACAAAGTTGGAGAAGTTGAGAAGGACAAAGTTGAATGAGTAAAGAAGGAGGGAGTGGGTTCCCCCCCCTTACAACCCATTTTAGAGACAACCAATATGCAAAATTGCAACGAAAGTTTGAAAAGGTCTCACAGGCCACATTGGGCCAGGGGCCATAGGTTATGCATCCCTAATATAAACATTCGTTTTACTTTGCTTTGCACATGATGCTGTCATTTTGTCTGTTCTATATTTTAAATGTTCATATTGTTCTATGTCTTAAAATTAGGAATTAATAATCTAAAACTGCAATAGTTATGGGTTCCACAAAATTTTTTTAAATATCATGGGGGTCATGGGGTCGCAAAAAAAATCTCAGTGATAAACAGTGGGTCATGATTGAAAAAAGTTTAAGAAGCCATGCTTTAAGCCAGTTTTCAAAATAACTGGTCAAAGTAGAAATCATGCCAAGTACTTTCTTTCTTCCGATGTAGAGCAAAGAGTTATCAGAATTTATCAGCAGTGAAATAACATCTCTTTAGAAGCATTTTCTTCCTCTTTTGGTTATCTCTTGATTCCTCTTCTGGCTCACGAGCAATCAATTTTCCAATTTCTGTTGGTAACAATCCCACTAAATACGGAATGCAAGTTTCTTCTGGAACCTTTAAAATCTTCAGTTGTGTCCTAAAAGGATTTAGGAACAAGGTCATGTCATAATCTTTAGGATCACATTTAGGTAAAATTCTCTCAAGATCCCAATTGGTTTTTTTTCAACTTCAACAATAGGACCTGTTTTAGTGGAGAGGGTTGTCTTCTGAACTTCAAGTTGAAGTTTCAAGTGTTCCAATTAATAAGTTCGCTCTTCTTCTTTTTCTTTGGCTAATTCTTGAGCAATACATTCTAATTCAGCTTGTTTCTTTTTCAACCCTCACAACCTGTTCTCAATTTTTCACTAATTCTTCATCATAATTATCGGATTTTGTCGTATGAGTTTTTTTAATTGTATCACTTTTAGATTATCTGCCACGACTAAATCCAATTCAAGGGTAAGAAGTTTTAAATCTTCTCCCCCTACCCAAAAAGGGCATTTTGTCTTTTTCAAAATTTAAATGCAGTCGTAAAGTCTCAGTTAAAGTTCACACTATTACTGTTAAAGCTTAATATTCTAATCTTATACATGTTTGAATTTTAAATGTATTTAAATTTATCTTCAGTCCTTAGATATCTTTGATAATTTTAAATACTTAGTTCATACAAAAGAAATCAACTTCACAGTAACTAAATAAACACTACTGGTTTACATTACTTATTCACATATTTGTCAAAACTTAGTACAGTCAGAAGTCGTTAATCCGGACTCGTCGGGACTTCGGCGATTCCGGATTATAGATCATCAGTTTAAATCTGGTAAGATGGCATGCAGAAATTATAAAATTAAAAATATGAAACCGTAATTTATGAAATAAAGAACAATTATGATCTAAAGGGTATCAAAATTTACAAAAAAAAAAAAAAGCTTAATATTTATTTGTTTACTTTATTAAACATTTCTTTCAATGTAAGTTGTTTAACTTGCTTCGTTTTATGTGATCATACTTTCTCTTTAATTCTATAAACAGTCATAATTTCTTGTTCAGTTACAAAGTTCCGCTGTTCAAGTCCTATAATTGCTGTGTCGAGAATACCGACTAATTTGTCAATCGAAATTTTTTCATTTTCAATAACCTCTGTGTCACTTTTTTCACTATCGGAAGCGAATTATAATGACGTGGAATTTGATTTAAATCATATCAAAGATGGAGTACATCGAGAGGAAATACTACATTTAGTAAGCAATTATAAGCCAAATAAAATAAAAACATCTGCCCTGAAGATAAGGATAGTGTTGACAGATCAACTTCCAATTCATTGTGCGCCGCGGCGTTTCCCCCCATACACACACACCCCACCCCCGGCCTCAGAGCAGCGTGAAATTGATAAACAGATTTTGGAATGGTTAGAGAAACAAAGGATATGTCTTTATCCATTTTTTGCAGCAATTCCACTTTTTGTTTAATGGACTTCGAAACATACTTTCGCTTTGTAAATCCTTTACATATTAGTAAATATATATCGGAAATTCTATTTGACATAATTGAAAGTTGAAGCTTACTTTTATAAAATTTCTCTAACACTCTACAAAAAATAATAAGCCGTATCAAATTCGAAGATTAAGGAACAATGCAATCTGCAACATTAACTGAAATAGTTAATTAGAGCTTAGCTTATACCATTCGTTATACGTTAAACGTGAATGTGCATGCGTGAACACCTATGCACATGCGTGATCGCATAATTCGTTCACGCATGTGCAGAAAGTTTGTAGCTTTGAGGTCCGGATTAACGACTTTTGACTGTATAAATTAAAATTCTAATACTACAAATAATCAAATATTATTCAATAGTTTTCAGGTAAGATTACTTAATTATACTTGTCAGGGTAGATGTTAGCAATGCACCTCTGGGGTAAGAACATCCATTCCTTTCGTATAAGACAACAAAATGGCTATCACAATATCTATATGAAGTATCCTGAAACAAAAGTAAATTCAATGTGTTCTACAACTCTATATTGCTGTCGCAAGTTGGGTGCCAATTTTTGCATTAATCCTTAAAAAACATCAATTAGGAGTTGAGTTTAAATAATGTTTTATTAACACCTAACATTAACGTACAGAAAATGGAATTAAGTTCTAAGTTTTTAGGTGTGCAGCTCGTGAGCATTGAACTGAGTATTTTTGTCTATATCATCCTTAGAGGCCATTGCCAACAATATTCCTTTTTTACAGTATATAATAAATGGAAGAATACAAATTATTTGGATTTTCTGAGTATCTGTGAATGGGTTATAGTTGTGTTTAATTTTATTTTTTAAGTCTACTGTATTTCATATTGACCAGTAGTAATATTAATTGTAAATAAGTAGGCAAATGAAAAAGTGTTTTCATACAGTAAGTAACAAATATAGTGATAAAGAAATAATGAAAAATAAAAATATCCAATAATTAAAATACTAGTAGTATGGATGTTTTTATTAATTATTAAAAATTCATGTATATTAACTGGTTTGTTTAATATACCCTATCTGGTATAATTACTATGTAATTGCAGAAAATTGTTGAGTTTCAATTCAATTCCTTTTTCCACATTTGAAATGATACTGATTTTTAAATGCATTAAAGTAAGTATGAATATTTGTTTATTTTCCAGGAAATCCATATCCTCCGATGCCTAGCAAGCCCAAGCCGAACACCGAGTCATTAACAAACATCTTATTAAAAGAAGCTAGTAAAGAATTTAAGAAGATGAAATTAAATTCTGAATCTAGAAACAGCTAAAAATATTGTTGTTTTATGTATGCAACAAAAAATATTGTTTATGTATTTCAGTAGTGCCTGAAAAATGCAGTAATGCAGAATTGTAATATTTCTTTGTTCCACCCTTTATAAAAATAAAATTTAGGAAAAAAAACTGTCTAATTTGATTGTTGTTCGAGATTTCAATTTGTGCTGAATACTTTTCTTAAATAAACAACCTAATACAGTCAAAAGTCGTTAATTCGGACACCCATAATCCGGACCTCAAAGCTAAAAACTTTCTGCGCATGCGCCGCGTTGGCACATGTGCACAGGCGTTTTACGCGTGCGCGTAAGACCTTGACTACTGCGCATATGCGTGTGCGCAAGTGCAGAATACGTTTTCACCTGCGCGTTTAATGTATAACAGACGGTGTAAGCTAAAATTATCTATTTCACTTAATGTTAATGATTGCGTTGTTTCTTAATCTTCGAATTGGATCCCGCTTATTATTTTTTGCAGACTGTAAGAGCAATTTTATAAAAGTAAACTTGAACTTTCGATTATGTCAAATAGAATATCCGATGCTGGAACTTCCAAAGGATCTACAAAACGAAAGTATGTTTCGATGTCCAACAAACAAAAAGTGAAATTGCTGCAAAAAATGGATAAAGACATGAAGAATGTGACAGAGAGGTTAGTGAAAACGAATTCGATTGACAAGTTAGTCGGTATTCTCGGCACAGCAATTAACGGGACTTGAACAGCGGAACTTAGTAACTGAACAAGAAATTATGTCTGTTTATAGAATTAAAGAGAAAGTATTATCACATAAAATGAAGCAACTTAAACAACTTACATTGAAAGAAATGTTTAATAAAGTAAACAAATAAATATTAAGCTTTTTTTTTAATAAATTTTGATACCCTTTAGATCATAATTGTTCTTTATTTCATAAATTACGGTTTCATATTTTTAATTTTAGAATTTCTGCATGCCATCTTACGAGATTTAAACTGATGATCTATAACCTGAAAAAATCAATAATCCGGAATCGCCGAAGTCCCGACGAGTCCGGATTAACGACTTTTGACTGTATTCATTTTAGTATGAATTCTTAGACTTCGAAAAAAGTCTCTTGAATCATCAGTAAAAACATCTTATTCCACTTTAGACCTTTGTCAACCTTTTTACTTTGCTGTCTTATATTATTTTAAATTTACTTTTCATATTTTTTAACTGAAAATTCATAGTGCTATTTAAATTGTTAAAAATAATGTACTAGTTTGTAACTGTCATAACCTAGATATAGACATTCAGAATTGTTTTTAAATTTGTAAACTGAAATAAGAAGCAAAAGATTTCTTACCTTTAGCAGATTTAATTTTGAGAAGAGTAATGTAGTTAATAGATCACAGTATATGATTGTTGTTAAATCTTTGCATATACATATGTAAATGTAAAATTGGCATATGGATTTCAATAAAATTCTGTTATAACGTATTCATCCAGCACAATTAATTTAGTTGATGTGATAATTTAAAGTTTTGCATACATAAAATTTAGGGTTGCAGTTATTTTGTAGCTTTATTATATAAATTTATTGTAATATATTATGATTTACTTAGATATTTTCTCAGACGAGCAAAAATTTTGCAAATGTGTTATACATTTTAATTTGGATTGCTTTATCATAATTTAATAGCATACTAAAATTCAGTCAATTTAGTTCATATTTTGGCAGTTTTTTAAAAATTCATTTTTCATTTCAATATTTCTTTTCCCTTCCTCCTCTGTTTTCTCTGTCTTTTTTTTCCTCTTAATTCTTATAATGAAGTTTTCATATTAGAAGTCTAAGATTATTTTTAAAATGCTAATTACAGTTTTATTTATTTTTTCAAGCTTTTGTAATCTTTGATTTCATATGCTTGAAATATTATAAAAGGATAGCATAAATAGGCAAAATTTCATATATATCAGTTATGAAATTTAGTTGCAATATTTTTGTATTTATCACAGATATGAATTTTATGAATAAATTATGCCTGTAATTCATGATATAAAAACCTCATTAATATGAAATAATTGGAGGTTGTATTTGGGATTGTCCAGATTAATGAAAGCTCAGAGCTTATATAAAATAATTTTTAAAAATGTAGCAAAAAGTGTTAAAAATCTTATAAATTGAAAAATAATTTGCAAAATACAGATTTATGACATGCTTATGCTGATATTAATGTTCATTTTTATAAAATGTCTGTGACTTAAGAAAAAATTATTAAGCCAAATTTTCCTGTTCACTATCTGAACTAACAAATCTGAAGAAACTGACAGTTTGCTTTGAGGTTACATTAAAGTTTATTTGTTTCATCCCTTAAATGTTTGCAACGCATCAATACATTTCTTGTTTTTTGATTTGCTCTCATAATGAAATTGACACAATTTAAATGTTTCTTTACCTTCAGTTTTTCCTTGTTTTTATTTCCTTATATTACAGCTCACTGTTACTGCCACAATATGTAGAAGTATTCAGTTCAGTTATTTTATATAATTTCTTACTTTAATAAAAGGATTTCAAGAGGATTTTGAGTCTCTTGAAAGATAAAATTTATCACATTAGAAAAATTTTTTGCATATTATATAATCTTTTTTGCCCTCTGCGCCCCTTTCATCATTACTAAAAAATTGTTCTCCCCACCCTCTTCCCAAATGTGAAAAATGTATATTTATTTTAATTTAGATTTTTTTATTAATTAAAAGAAGAAAAAATATAAAAAAATATTAATAGTACCAATAGTACCAAATTTTGAATGAAAGTGGCCTTTAAGTATTTATAAACAAAGTAAAAACTAGATACGTTGCAGATAATCATTTCCCTGTATAAAAGCTGCTATTCTGTCTTAGAAATAGATTTCTTAATACTCTTTGGGAGAATTTAATAATCTTGTTATGCCTACAAATTTTAAGTTGTTTTATATATATATCAAAAGGGCTGTTAAACTTGAAGCACAGTTTTGCGTTGTTTCACTTTTCATTGGACTCTGTTGCCATTCGGAAAAATGCAAGATATTCTTTCATATTTAATCTGTCTGTTATTAATTCACAACCTAAACTATTTAATAGTAGAATGGAGTTCTTAAAAATACTATTTTTTTTTACTTTTTAATTTGATTGATTTAAATAAAAATGCATTTAATTCATGATATATCTAATTAAAAACATTGGTACTATTCCGTTAGAGCGACGTCAGTTAAAAATGAATTAAAAATGCTACAACAACATGCCAAATATCGTGGCTCAAGAATTTAACATTTGAAATATCATCACTCCTTATTTTTTCGCCATATTTCTCCATATTTTTAGTACGATGGATTACACAATTTGGCAGCTACCTAATGACCATGAGGCTGTCATAAGATTCTTTCAGGACAAAGGAAAAATTCATAACAGTAGCCTTTGATCTCAAAATCATCTGATGAAGTTAACTTTTGACTAAAACAAAACTCCTATATCGTGTTAATATGTATGTTCTTGCTGTGGAAAAAAAAAAAGTATTGAGGACCAAAACATGGTTTGAAGACTCATTGTCATTCTTTCCGCAATGCCACTCCTTTTATATATCCATGGTGTCAAGAATTGATATTGATTGATTTTTGCTAATTTCAGTTAGAAATTAGCCATAATATGACAATAGATTGGAATAGCTACATTCAAGTCTTTTTACAAAACGGAAAAAAAAACAACATTGGACGTGTTCTTCCAGAACAATGGGTATTTGGGGATTATGCCGGGAAAGCAACACAGATGGCAGCATTATATTTTCAAACTGATGGAAAGGATTAAAAAAAGGAATTAAGCAATGCTGGGTATGAACATTTCACTGAATCGCAGTTATAATTTGTAGACCCGAAACTGGATGCCATGCCCAAACTGTGGGGCAGTGCTAAATGGAGAAATAAACGTCAGCTTGGCACTGCTCATCACCATTTAATCGTATTTGGTAGAATTTATGTGGCGTCAGTTACATTCAAAAACTGAAATTTTTTTCTGCAGTATTGAACGATATTTGTAATTTTATCCTATCTGTTTCGATTGAATTTCATTTTGTTATGTTATTTTTTATTTATCTGTATTCTAAATTAAAAAGAAAATTTTAATTTTTTTTTACTCTTTTGATTTCTATTATTTCATAATTTTATACTCGGCAACAATTTGTATTAAAAAAAAGTCACATATTATTAACTGACGCCGCTCTAACAGAATAGTGCCAAAACATATATCTTTTTATAAATGGATTACATATTTTTTCACTTTTTAAATATACAAATGAAATATAATATTCCTATGTTAGTGTAACTGCATATTCATATAATATCTTATAAAATGTTTCACTATCCCACTGGGCTACATGTATTAACAGTCTCTCCTGATAAACCATATTAAACTTTAAAAGAGCACTTTCAAATTTTATGTAGTTATTTATTTTGTTTTGTTTCATAGCAATTTTAATGTTTATAGAAACATTCTATAAATACTAGATGTAAATAACTGACTTTAAATCTCTTTCATATGGTAGTTCTGCAAAATTTCATTTGGACTTTAGAGATCATTTTAGTTATATTTTAAGAAACATTATGATACATATACAGAAGGCAGCGCCCAATATGGTCATTTGTTTGTTGTTATCATGTATACGAAAATATAGAAAATGCATCACGTATTGTGATTGACAGTTTGATTAATGTTATAAAATATTATAAAATGAATTTTTCAAACCAAAGTAAATTCTCCAAATAAATATCAAAATAAATTTTTTTAAATTGCCAAATGCCTAAAAAATGTCACCAAGTAAGAAATTAATTCAAACTGCTCAGTTTTATTTTAGTTAACCATTTAAAACTAGACAATAAAAGTAATCTTTTGTTTGGTATAGCGCAGATTTGTAATAAGTTTGTCGATTTTAAGAACAATCTGGTACACTTTCATGTTCAGACAGAAGCTATCTGCCAGGGGTTTTCTGAAATAAATTCAAGCACTTCGTGTAATAAACGGCTAAAGGACGTAAGTATGAAATCGGTGAATACTGTATAAATGCTGATATTAGGGATATAACATCGGTCAAATAATTTCTAGAAAATTAGAGAGTTCATAAATTAACATTTGTAGGCAATCCAATAGTAAA